GTTAGCGACTGAATCATTCGATTCACTCCCTGACCCTGTTCTCGCACTGAGTCCTACATGTTATCGGTCTAGTTAGCAACTGTGGATCGTTCGGTAGCGGTTCATGACCTGTAGATCAAAGTCCAAAGTTCAAACAGTGAGTTACTCCTTTGCTGCACCATTCCGTCAAGCAGCTGAATACCTTCTTGCAGATGTAGGCCCTCCGGACTTCCACGTCAAGTTTCTTCTTTTCTCTTCACTGCAAGACAACGTTCAATAAAAAAGCAAGGATAATTTTCTTTAATTCAGCTCTTCCCTTTAGACTCACTACTTGTAGTCGTGTTCGTCTATGAGAAGTTCAACGGTGACTTTATCCGTATGGCAAGGGGCTGGTAGTTCGTGAAAAAAGCCATGATTCCAGGATCTTGAAATGAAACAAAAAGCACACTTGACAAAACTTTTCACAGTTCGAGAGAGAGGAAAGCGTCAAGAAGTCCGGTTCGACTGTGCCTTGGCCTTGTGCACTTACATCTACGACTACATGTACATGTACATGTAGTAAGAACTAGTAGCTACATGCGCAAGTATGAGTACAAGTCATCTACTCGTAGTGCACCGTGTACTAGAGCACGCGCGGAGCATCCGAAAAGTATTCGAAAAGTATTTTCTCTTTGCGGGCATTTTTCAGTCGAACAAAGCCCTAGTTTCGACTGATTGAGTGCTTTTCGTGACGATTCTCGAATTTCACTCGAAAATTCGATTTGCTGATGCTCCGTATTGTGCGGAGACCTTTCTTCGAACTGTCGTTTTCTTCTTGCTTGTCAACGGTACGACAGTTGGTGTTGTTTGAGGTGGAGAGCAGTATTCTTTCGTCGATAGTTGTCGTAGGCAGTTGTAGTAATGAGGTGTAACATTTGTCGGTGATTTCTGTGGTTTGCTGAGACAGGTAAATTGCATTGTGTTGCAGTGTGTTGTGAAGATGTCCCCGCGATGTCGTTCATTGATCGTCTTCACCTTTTTCAGCTACTGACACAGTCACTGACTGACGTAGCTGCATGTCAGTGGACGTGGGGTCAAAGGTTAATCCACTCTAAATATGGTGTTGGGTATGACGTCATGATGAGTGTGTATGTGCGTGCGTACCAATCAGTGTAGATACAAGTATTGACATGTGAAATCAATCTTGTTTGGATCATTGTGTATGTCATAGTATGCGAGTACTTGTTGTCTTTCTTACCTCTCCTTGTCTGTCCCCTTGTCTGTCCGTCTGTATGTGTGTTTGTCTGTCTGTCCATCTGTCTGTCCATCTGTGTGTGTATGTGTGTGTGTGTGTCTGTATTGTATGTATCCTTGTGCGTGTCAATGTGTCTGTCTGTCTGTTCTCTGGTTGTCTGTCTGTCTGTCCATCTGTGTGTATCTGTCTGTGTGTCTGTGTTGCATACGCATTGTCTCCGTACAGACATGTCCAGTCAAGACGTCAAAAGGTTTGCTCGGGAGGTGCAGCGAAAAGATGCCACAACGGAAAGTCTTCAGGCTGCTGTGCCTCCTGAGCAGCCGCAATTGTCCTCCACATCACGTAAAGTGACATGGAAACCACCATCATACCCATGGACATCACGATGCTACTCAATGGGAGTAAGTAGAGTGTTGCTGTACAGTGTGTGTGTGTGGGGGGGGGGGGGGGGGGGGGTTCTGTGACACCTGGCCTTCTTGTCTGTACCATTGTCAAGTGATTGTTGATCAATGGGAATCGTTGATGTGACATAACTTTACAAGATGTGCAATTGCTGCAAGCTTCTCTCAAACTGGAATAAAGTTATGCCAATATGTCTGGTTTGGATCGCTGACCCCTGAGGTCAATCAGTAGGTTTCCTAAATCCTAGTGGCATTGTACTGAGAGTATTGTTGCTGTCATTGCTGTAATTGTCAAATCGTTTCTTTCTGTTTTGTATATCACACAGACAATGCTCATTCTTGTGATATGCTGGGAGGGTCAGCATCTTCGTGATCACATCCTCTACGGTATTGTGCACTATATATTTAGTGTACATACTGTAGAGATCAATGAGGAAGACGAAACTCGCGTAAGTTGTTGTGTTCTTGATTGTTACAAGACTCAGCACTGTTCAGTTTTGTCATGGTTGTTCTGTGTGTGTGTGTGTGTGTGTGTGTGTGTGTGTGTGTGTGTGTGTGTGTCTGTTGTCTGTCTGTCTGCCTGTCTGTCTGTCTGTATGATACTCCGCTCCTGTGTTTCTGTATCCCTGGACTGTACCATGTATCCGTATGTCCACATGCCCCAAGACTTCGCGTCATTGGGATGTACAACTGACTGTGTGTCTGTCATGTGTGTGTGTACACGTGCATGTGTGTGTGTTTGTGCGTGTGTGTGCGTGCGTGCGTGTGCATGTGTGTGTGTGTGTGCGTGCACGCATGTGCCCGTGTGTGTGTGTGTGCGTGCGTGTGTGTGTGTGTACGTGTGTGCATGCATGCACGCATGTGCCTGTGTGTGGTGTGTGTGTGTGTGTGTGTGTGTGTACAGGACAACCGGACACTACTGCACTTGTGTGCAATCCATGGAAATGATCGACTAACGAATATACTCATCGGACGTGGAGCCAATATGAATGTGCAGGACAGCGGGGTAAGAACTAGTGATAGTTTAGAGTCTGGTTGTCTCAACTGAATTCTCAGTTTGTATGTTCCTACATGTCTATCTGTCTGTCTCTAAGACAAGCTGTTCATGGTTTCTGCATGTGTGTCCTGTTTGTATGTCCACGTGTGTAGGTACATCTGCATGTGTGTACATGTATGTGTATGTTAGTCCATGTGTGTGTGTGTGTGTGTGTGTGTGTGTGTGTGTGTGTGTGTGTGTGTGTGTGTGTGCGTGTGTGTGTGCGTGCGTCCCATATGGTGCAGTGGTATGTGCAACGATTTCCAATCGATAGGTTGCGGGTTCGATTCCCGACGATTATGGTCACACACGTCTTTCTTCTCTTTCTCAGACTCCGCCTGACTTTTCTTTCATTCTCCTGGGTGGTTACCAACAGCCAGTGCATGCCGGAGTATGTGGTGTGATGTGTGTGCGGAAAAAAATGAAATTGAATAGACCAAAAAGTAGGGATTCACTGGCCAGAAAAAGCCACTTCATATCTGTGTGATGTAGACCAGGCTGAATAGTGGCGGTCAATTCTTCAGCCTTGCAAGCTGTTGAATGGGGCAATCCCAGCACAAGTTGCTTTGGCTTCTGCTGTAGCATCGCTATCATCGCCTCCGGCAATGGGCGTCCAATGGTGTGTGTGTGTGAGCGCGCGCGCCCGCGTGTGTGTGTGTGTTTGTGAGCACATGCGTGTGTGTGTCTGTGTGTGTGTGTGTGTGTGTGTGTGTGTGTGTGTGTGTGTGTGTGTTGATGCGTTTGTTCTAGTTGTCAAGGTCTGTGTTGGTGTGTGGTTGTAGTAGTTAGTGTAATGGTTGTATAGCAATACTCATCACATTCTCTCTTTCTCTACAGCTACGAGAGACTCCACTTCACGAGGCAGTCAACTATAGAAAGATCAACGTTGTCAAGGTGATACTGTCAAATACCAGTGACGGTGTCACCTTGGATACCACACTGCGTAACAGGGTAAGTATTTGATTGTGTGTTGTTGTGAAGTGAACAGTTTCTACTCGTCCTTCTCACCTGTCCTGCCTCTCTCTCTCTCTCTCCATCTCTGCAATTTGCCGATGACATTGCCGTGCACTGCCACAGAAAATCAGTGCTAGCCACATCAGCCTGCCTATCAGGGGCCGTCACCAACGTCGCTGACTGGCTCAAGCATCGACATCTGCTTCTAAATGACAAGAAGAGCCAGGTCCTGTCAATTGTACCACAAAGCAATGCGGGTCACCATGTCGCTGTCCGCTGCAACCAGACAGAGCTTCCCCTGAGCCCAACAGCAAGGTACCTCGGCGTGACCCTTGACGCCGCTGTGAAGTGGGACCCCCATGACCATGTTGACGCAATGGCGAAGAAAGTTGTGCAGAAGATTGGTGCACTGTAGCGGTCCCGCAGATGTCTGAGCCTCAGTAGTCGCATCCAGTATGTGAGGTCAGTCATCATGCCCGACCTCCTATATGGGTCTAACGCCTTGTCTTCCTCCCTCAAGGTTTCGCAGCTTGATCGCCTTCAGGTCCTGCAGAACCGAGCGGCGAGAGCGGTATACGGTTTGCCGCCTCACACCTCGGCTCAGCCTCTGGTCGAACGGATTTCCCTGTACAGTGTTCGCGAGTGCTACGCCCAGAAGCGGCTCGTCCTGGTGTGGCGCTGTGTCAATGGGAAAGCCAGCAGTGTCCTCCAGGAACTATTCTCACCATCAGCTGGCAGCAACACCCGGCACCAGGTTTCCAGGGGCCTCACTGTCCCCTCGGCACAGTCAGAAGCCGGCAGATCTCGCCTGGCCTTTCAGGCAGCCTTGGCCTGGAACGCTCTCCCAAGGAGTGTAAGGGAGATCAACGCTGCCCAGCAATTTAAGCTTGCCTCCATCCCCTACACCTTGCAATGAATGCTCTGTCTGACTTTTCCCGTCCATACACCACGTCATTTACTCTTCTCTGCGTGCTTGTGCGCTTATGAACTCTTTGCGTTCCCTCTGTTGACGCTTCAAAATCGCTCTATTGACACTTCAAAATTGCTCTGTTGACGCTGCAAAATTGCTTATCATCTCCCTCCCTCCCCCCCTCTCTCTCTCTCTTTCTCTCTCTCTCTCTCTCTCTCTCTCTCTCTCTCTCTCTCTCTCTCCCTCTCTCTCTGTCTCTCCCCCGTAGCTCTCTCCCTTTTGAAATTCGCTTCCATAGAATTGGGCACCATTGCCCGTTTGGCCTTGCGAATTAAAATAAAAATCAACAACAACAGCCCCTCGCTCTCTCTCTCTCACACAACTACCACAACTCTTCTCTCCTCTCCTCTTGTCAGAAATGTGTACCAGTTGTACAATACCGTACTTGGTGACATCATGCGTACTTTATCGCCACGTGGTCATATTCACTCCGTGGTTCAATTTTTGAAGAATTTCGAAATCAGTGTGTGAAGGAGTAGACTGTTTGATGGTGTTTGTTGGAACGGGTGAGGAGTGAAGGGTTTTTGTTATTGTAACGAGTACGCAGAATACATGCAGTTGTTCCTGATGTGGAGCAGGCGCTATGGACGCCTTCCTCTCGTCGTGGATATTTTCATTCGAGTAGAAATCTGTAAAAAAATTCAAATTTGTCGAGGCATGAACTGGAGTTTTTACTGTGGATGCATGGAGTAGCAATGTTGCTGAGGAAGTAGAGACTTGTTCTGTACATGTAAGTCGTCTTGTAGAGAGATTGATTTCGTCTCGTTGTAGATTAGGCCCTTGGCCTTCGTTGTGTTTTCGTTTTTGTAAAATTGGAACGAATTTTCTCTAAAATGATTTTCTGTTGTTCCTGTGATGTGTTGTTGAGTTACTCAGGAAGGGAAAACAGCACTGGACCTAGCCAAGGAATGCAATCAGGAAGGATGTGTGCAGTTGCTGCTGGAGCACGAGAGTGCGAAGGTATGTTGAAAAGACTTGGCGAGTGACCCTGAATGTGTTTTCCCATGTACAATGTACTAGTGGTTATCACTAGTATTCCTTATTATTATGTTTCCTTTATTCACTTCTTTCGAAGGCGATAAGCCAGACCCACCAAGAAATATTTCCATGGGTGGGACAGCAAAAAGAAAGTGAAAAAATAAAAAAGCCAAAAACCAAAGGGACAAGAAATAGGGGAAGGAAGAGGAAGAACGGAAAGAAACTCAATCCAAACTCCAACATCAAAACAATAATAATACAATTTGCAACGACAGGTACAGGTAAAGGTATTATTATTATTATACGTACGTCCGCCTTTACGTCAACAGTAAGTCCACTTATTCGCATGTGCCAGAAGACAGGCAGAGCGGGCAGAGAGGAAAATAAAAAATAAAAAATAAATGTAAGACAGCCGGCGATAGGCACATAACTCATGTTCGATGATAACAAAACGTTAGGTGCTCAATGCACGGGATCTATTCGAAAGATTAAAAAAAGTAAAACAAGAATAACAGACAACGGCGATAGGTTTGTAACTCATGTTCGACGGTAAGTGCTAAATGCACGGGATCTCTACAATGCCTGTGTCCCATCCACTATTTGCTGCGTACATCCTGGCACAGCTCGCGTCACGCAGGCCTGTCCGCGGCGATGGCCCGCAGGTGCTCCAGGTCTGCCAAGTTCCTCAGACTCCTCAGTCCTGCTGATTCTAGGTCCGCCGATAGTGTGGACACGATGGTTGTCCCCTCGCCATACCTTGTCCCCACAGGTGAAGTAACTCCGCATAGCAAGGGCGGCAGGCGTGTCCTGAGGGAGTCTGAGGATATCTGGGTACCAAATCACCCGCCTCAAAAATTTCGTTTCTCGTTTTCGAAACACGAAGGTTCGCTGTCTTCTGACCAGACGTGCCACTCTGCGGAAGTCACACTGTAGTTGTCCACGATATTACCAGTTTACATCTACGTGTTTTCACAATCTGAAATCAAACTGCTGTTCCTGCCTACAGTTGTACCAGGTCAGCACATGCATTCTGCATGCTAGTATATCACGTTGCACAAGTTAATTTAGAAGTAGCACTAAACGAAACTGGACTCACGGCCGTACAACTGGACATGTTGAAGAATACATCAAGCAAAGACATTTTACATCCGCTGGTCACCTTTTCACTCATATATCCTAGTGTTGAATACACAATTACAAGCGCCGCAAACAAGTCAGCTGAGAGGGGATAAAATAATTAAATGTAGTCTCTCAACCAAACACGTATCTATCAGCTGAATAGCCCACGCGCATCCTTGGTGTGTGCATAAACACACTGTGGACATGTATAATCATGTACTTTTGTTGGAAATTTGTGGCACTTCCCCCCCCCCCCCCCCCCATGATCCTGGCCACCACCCTGCGCTTCCATTGTCAACAGCACATTTACACACACACATGCATGCACACACACACACACACACACACACACACACACACACACACACACACACCTCCTCCTCCTTCGCCCACTGCCACGATTGGCTATGTGTCCCCAAACGGGGCGACTTGGAGGAGTGCTGTCTCCGGGACGCGGCATGAGGCCCTGCGAGTCCGGCGGGACGTGAACGGCTGTTTCACTGTTTGTTTTTTGCCTTTGCGGAGCGACGGGAGGTGCAACTATGTCTAGCGATGTCTTGAGGACGGCTGAAACGGCGTGTGCAGACCATACACAGGAGTGGTTTCACGGCAGGTTGTACACGAGAGCATACCACACTGTAGACTCCATCCTGACACCTGGTTCTCCACTCAGACCTATCATCTGCTGTTTCAAGCCACTCATTCATGCCAATGGACACCGCCGTCAGGTCATGTTTGATTGGGTCTTTCCACCTCTTCCGGGGGCCATGTGGAGGTCGTTTAGACGGCAAGGCACCAAAGAGCAATTGGCGGGGAATACGGTCATCCATGCGAGCCAGGTGGCCCAGCCATTGGAGACGACGGCGCCGGACCTTGTCAGAGACCTGCTCCATGTCACCCCACCACTGCCGTACCTGAAGGGTTGTCACGTGCTCGTCCATCTGGCGCGCCCGACTGATGCCCAGGACCATGCGTATAGATCGCAGGTGAAACGACTCCAGACGCTGGAGATCCCGTTGCCTCGGTGTCCAGTTCTCAGCACCATAGAGGAGTACTGCCAACACAGTGACTCCGTACACAACACGCTTGAGACCGATAGGAAACTCCGAGTTCGCAAACACAGCTTTCTTCAATGCGCCAAATGCACCCGAAGCTGCGGCGATCCTGCGAGAGACATCAAAGCTACTCCTAGCATCAGGAGTGATCTGGCAGCCAAGATAGCGAAAGCTGTCCACGCATTCGACGGTTCCACCCAAAGGCAACATATCCGACGCCACCACACCAACGCCCATAGGCATGAACTTAGCTTTGCCCAGATTTGACTGACAGGCCAAAAGATGCTGCAACCTGTCGAAACGTGGCCAAGGCCCTTTCAGCACCGCCGTAGGTTTTGGCGAACAGGGGCGAATCGTCCGCAAACTGACACTCCGTGATAGTCACCCTGCGACACTCTCTGAGACGCGTATTGAACAAGCAGTCTCTGCGAAACTGCGACACCTGGATACCGATATCCTCGTCATTGGCGATGGTAGCATGCCACTTTTCCACAACCGCACCCATGAATAAGTTGAACAGGATCGGGGCCATAGTGCATCCCTGACGTAGGCCATTTCCCACCGGGAAAGGGTCGAGCAGATCTGCGCCGAGACGAATGGATGCAGACATGCCTTCATGGAACGACCGAATGATGGAGATCAGCTTATCCGGCACGCCGAGCCTGGAGAGAACCCTCCACATGGCTGCTCTAGGCACTGAATCGTATGCTTTGCGCAAGTCAATGAACACCGCAAAGCCCTTTGATGAATGCTCATGCAATTTCTCGGCAACCTGGCGTACTGAGAACACCATGTCTGAGCATCCCCTACCACGGCGAAAACCACACTGGGAGTCAGGCAGGTATTCCTCTCCAACCAGCTGCAGGAGATCCGCTATTATTCTTGCCACCAGCTTGCCGACCACGTCTAGAAGCGCGATGCCTCGCCAGTTACCACAGTCACTAAGATCACCTTTCTTGGGAATTGGGATTAAGATGGCGTCTGCCCAATCCTGAGGAACCCTTTCCGTCCGCCAAACTTCAGCCAACAACATCTCCAACCTAGGCACCAGTTCAGAGCCGCACTTGAGCATCTCCGCTGTTATCTCTGATCGGCCACATGCTTTGCCATTTTGAAGAGCTCGCATAGCACGGTGTATCTCGCTGCAGGCTGGGGCGTTCTCAAGGTGAAGCCGAATCGGTAGGTGCCCAATGGAATCAATGGCATCTGGGACAAAATCACTGATCACGTTTAGGACACCGTCAAAATGCTCCCGCCATCGCGTACCTGTTGCCTCTGGTGTCTCGCACACAACACCCTGCGCATTCTTGATAGCAGCTGTCTTGCGGGGCTGCAATCCATCAAGTGCAGTCTGGATCCTCTTGATGCACTCCCAGCCTCCCTTAGATGTTAGACTAAAGCGTTCGCAGTCCCGAGCCTGCTTTCTCAGCCAGTCCTGCTTTGCTTGACGAACGATATGGCGAGCTGAACTTCGGGCCTTCTTATACAGCTTCTGATCACTTGCCCTGTTGGTCGACATCCAGGCTCGGTAGCAATCGTCTCGCTCACGGAGGGCAGCCTCAATCTTCGGTCGATTGTCCAGGAACCAGTCTGGTTGTTTGCGCCGCTCTCTGCCAAGGCATTTCTGAGCGACGTCCGCCACCGTAGTTTTCAACGCAGCCCAGCATCCGTCCACAGATAGCTCATCTGGCCAGTTCTGAACCAAGGCAGCATCAAGACTAGTGGAATATTTTGCTCGCACTTCATCATTGGAGGGAGCCGTTAGGACTGCGGAAGCGATGGGTTTGTTGGCTGGTTTACTTTGCCTGCGGAAACTGGGCACCGCCGCCAAGCGGTATCTCATGGCAAGGAACTTATGGTCGGTGTCACACTCCGCAGAGCGGAGAACTTGACAATCCAGACATTGACGCTGACATGACTCTGGAATAATGCAGTAGTCGATACAATGAGGCTGCCCATACCTGGGATGGTGCCACGTGTGCTTGTGGATGTCCTTCTTCTTGAACCAGGTGTTGCAGATGAGCGCACTGTTTCTGGCCAGGAAGTTTAGTAAATCCTCTCCAGCAGAATTCATGACGCCATGTCCATGTGTACCCCTTACGCGGCTCCACTCGTCTCCAGCAGTACCAACACCAACACGAGCATTGAAATCGCCGAGTATGACATACTGGTCACTCCTGGGTACACTATCAAGGAAGGACTGCAAACTTTCATAGAACGCAGCTTTCTCCTCACGTGATCTACTGAATGTTGGTGCATACGCAACAGCGATAT